AGATCTATAACTCAACATACAGGTATTGCATTAGGTTATTCTGCTTTATTTGCCTTTCAAATCCAATGTTCAGACGTTATAAACATCTACAAGAACTTATTTCTTCCTAAGGCTACTTTTTGTTGTGCTTTCTAATACTTAAGTATAAGAAAATTGTAGTAGTGAAGATTGCTGTGTCTGTAAGGACCCTGTGAGGGTTTATTCTATTTTCTTGACTTCACTAAGTTTGTTTTAGCATGAACAAGAGTAGTTAGATAAAATAAGAGTAAAAAAAGCTGTTGGCTTATGTCCACTTACATGAATATTGAACCACAGTAATATGATCAATTTTTAAATTATAGCATTTACTAAGTGAAGATATTGTAGAGGTTAGACATGATGGAGGTGGGATGGCACTAATGTTTTACGGTAATTTGTCTACAAGATTTTACTCTTTCATTTGTTTTAACATGATGATTTTTTAACAAGATTTTAATAAATTTCACCATGACTTATTTTGCTTTACTCCCTTTAACCTAAAATGTGGTGCTATATACTTTTAGACAGCCCTAAGTGATAGACGAGATTAGGCAGTGATGCCCAAACTTCAAATTATAACCAAGTTTCTCAGTTTAGAATGAATAACAGGTTGTAACAGGGGCACTGTAAAGGTAGTAAAGGTCAAAATACAAATTCTACATACTCATTCATGCACTCTAAAAGTACCAACACAAAGAATAAAAAGTCCCTATACACTGGCATTTTCCCATCCATGGATAGTGACTGCATGCTATGCTGAACCATTGCAGTTGCTAAGAGGTTTATAGTTATATTTTTACATTGAGTTTAGGAAAAACAATGAAGCTTTGTATGTATTGCACAATTATTACAATGATTTTAAAATGTGTTTCCAGCTTTTTGGGCAACCCATATACATATTCTGTTCAGTTGTGGTTTTCTTATTTTGGTTTGTTATCTGGGCAAGACACTTTTCTTTTTTTAAAAAATAAGTGTGTGTATATATATATATTGTCAATAAGTTACTGAAAAGAGCAATTTAAATCTCAAAGCAAGTTTTGATTTTTTTTTTTTTTTAATTATATTTAGTAAGACTGTAAGCAATACAGTGGGATTTTTTATTGAAGTGAACTGTTTGGATGAGATCTCTGTACATTTGCTTTTATGCAATCTGAAAGGTGAGCGGGAAAGGACTTCTGAAAACTTGGTTTGTGTTCTTTCAAAATTCTTCTGTATATACAATACACGGTCCTAAAAGTTTTCTTGATTTTACGCTAAAAATGGCAAGAATGTAAATGAATTCTCTGGTTTCATAGCAAAGTGCCTTGGAAGTGGAAAAAGCTCATGGATTTTCTTTGGGAACTCTCCGATGGTATAATGTTCTTTTTTAAAACAGTAACAGAACAAGTAAAATTGCTTTAAATTCATCCTTATTTACGTATTTTATCCAGAGTGTTTCTGGTAGAACTAAGAAAATAGTGTAGTCTACATATACTATACCTGCAGTTCCGTCCAAGGCTTCCTGACGTGTTTTGTAAAAGGACTTAAATTGAAGTTTTTGCTGTCTTATATCCACCCCATTTCTTGTATTTTAATTTATCTAGTAGCTTAGAGAAACATAACTGTAACAGGGTAACTGTTTTTGTACAAATTACCCCCATGACAGTTTCATCTGAGAGCATCTCTGTCATGATTTCTCTTTCCAGCAGCAGATACCCACAGCAGCCTTTTCTGTACCTGTATTCTCCTGGCTCGTTACTTTTGTTTTCCAATGATCTCCTGTTTCTTTTTTTGCATAAAATGTTAGTACACATCCAACACCATGAATTTGTGGTAGCCATATAGACCAACTCTGTAACATTAAAAGATCCTGAACTTTTGTTGTCCTTGAGAACAAAAGAAATTCTAATCTCTACTTCCTAGTAACCACTGGATGGCAAAGATTTAGCAGAGAAATGCAAGAGATAGGGTACTCCTGCAGTACATCGGGTTTATGCCAAAGCTGATCTCTCAATTATAACAGAAGTACAAAAGTTTGCTAAACAAAACCTCTAGCACTGTAATCAGAAGTTGATCTGTACTTTTCCTCAAGATGCCACTAGAGCACTCCCTTTACATCAGAGGGCTTGTTAATAGCTTGTCATGAGACAGACGTGCCTTCAGGAACTAAATGGATATTTGACCAGGAGTATGTCCTGAACAGCCAAGATCCCTTCAGCTCAGTTTACAGCCAGCTGGAGAGACTACTAAACAGACAGAATATGACAGCACTGAAGAGGAGACCTTATCCCAGAAGTGTTTGTATATTATTTCATAGTTTGTCCTAATAGCATCTATTCAGTCACTGACCACATGGGATTCTTACAGCAGAGAACAGCTATATTTGTCCTTAGACATCTTTTTTTTTTCCCATTGTGGCATTTTTAAGAGAAAGCTGATGTAGAAACCTAAGATGCTTTAAGACACCACCTGCCCACCACACACACACACACACACCCTCCCTTAGAATCTGAGTGATATTAAATTACAGAGTCAATTGTATAGCTTACATGGCTCCAACAATTTCTTTAAGTATTATACTTAGAGAGTAAAATTGTGTCTCAAATCCACAGGCTGACACGCTTTTTCCCTCTGCCTGTTGAGTGCACAGGATACTAGGAACTTCCTTTTGCTGGTTGCATCTTAAAGGGCAGATTTCGCTGTATTCATCTCATGTTTTAGAGGGACAAAACAACTACAGTTTTGTATTTCTTTGGACCTCCAACCACATTTGTTGTGTGCTTTGAGTTGTCTGTCCTGTTTAAGATTTGTTTGTAATGTTGAGCCAAGTAATTAAAAAATTACAACTGAGCAGCTTCACCCATCACCCCTTTAACAATATTCATTTATTTAAAATCAATTTACAAAGTGTATGCTATTTTAATCTGTTATTCATTTGCCTTCCCTACATCCTGCTGTAACCATTATAGTATTTCCCTCGTTTATGCTTGTAGTGCTGCTGGATATTAGTGTAATCCTCAACTTACACTTCAAAAGTCTCTGCTTTGTTCATTTAGATAAGTAAACTAAATCATGTACCTATGAAACACAGTAGGATCACTAGGAGAATTCCAACCTTGTTTTGAAAAACCTGTTTTTTTTTTTATTCTCTCAAATATAAGCACTATTGTATCTAAGCCTTTTCTTATATATCAATCATCTAGCAAAAAGCTTTCTTTAAAGTGGAGAAACAAAAAGTAAGCTGTTTCACATAATATTAGCTAAAACCTATAAATAAAAGCTATCATCTGTGCTTAGAAGGTTCAGGACCCTTTCAGGATCTACCCTAGATGGTTAGAGGACTTTCCCTTTTCCCAGCCAGGCCTTGCGCCATGGAGAAAAACCCTTTAGTTAGAATTCCAGGACTATCAGAGGATATAAAAACAAAACCAGGGGTATGGCAAGTCTTGACAGTGGCCCTGGTAGTTCCTTTGCTTTAAAACCATTGGTGACATTCTGTATTTAAGTCTTACATAGTGCACCTAACTGTGTGAGCAGAGGCCTTGAAACTCGTTTACTAATCACAGCTATGTTAGCTACTGACTGATGCGTGTTGAACACATAGTAGCAAGCCATTGCTTCTTCACCTTAAGGAGAATCCTCACCCCCTGGAAGCTGTTTCACACCCCAGTGTTCAGCAGCCATTGCAATGAATCAGAGGTGTGTTACCATGTTACTTTTATGCTGTCAGTAGGTGCTGAACAGCAAAACCTAGAAACAGTTTTCTGAGAAATGCTAGTGTATATATATGCTACACAGAATGGGAAAATTCAGAAATACTTGTTCAGTTTCATCTTGCTTCTGTACAGAGGAATGATCTCCTTTGGCTGTTAGAATGCAGAGTCCTGTTAATAACATTAATGAATCAAAATCAGTGCTGAGCATGGTTTTCCCTGTGCTATATGGTGGCAATTTTCAAAGCTTTTTTGGAACAGGTATTTTTCAGTAGGTTACCATCCACTGAAAACAGATGAACAGCAGAAGCCTGAATCAAGAGCTCACAAATTTCCATGGATGGATAGGTATCCTTTGCTGAGTCTGCTGGCTGGATATTATGAAAAATCTATTTAGGGCAGATGCTCAGTGTTGTGTACAATTAGTGAGAGGGAAAAACAGTCCTCTGTGGTGAGTGTTATCCCTCAGGAAAGGAGTGTAAGTCACAATAGGCAAGCAGTGTAGTTGTCTTCTTCCAGTTGTTATAATTTCTATCAATCAGTAAGGTCGCTGGTATATGACAGAGTGCCATCTTTAACAACTGAGTTTTGCTGAGTGTTTTTGCTACTTGTTTTGAAAAGCAATTACATTTGGATCTGAGTAGTCAGCAAGAATCTCTGCTTTTTGTAAAACTAGATACCACAAGCAGTTGCTGTGTCCAGTGAATTCTTACAGAAGACTGACTTGTTAAGAGGTAGTACCTGTAGCTGATTTACTGCTCAATAAGCAGCAGTCCTTGGCTCCCACTGAGTTAATAACTCAACAGGAGTGAGCAACTGCTTGCTCATAGAGAAACAAGAGCTCCTTTTTCCCCTCTTGATGCAGTACCTCCTGTTTAGTATGAGTTCAACAAAAGTATCTGTGCTTCACATGCAAGGTAGAGGTTCCCAGGGAGTTTGAAACCATTTCTCCAATCTAGTCCCCACATCAAACATCATAATTCTAGTAATTGCAATAAATTCATGCACAGCAAAAACATAAAAATAGCTAGGAAACATACAGGTGGAAATGTTCAACAGATGCATTTGGGTTATGAAACTTGTCTCTCTTGGAAGGAAACAGTAATTCACAATTGAGGAGCTTCTAAGTTACACAAAAAAAAATCTCCCATTAGTGTGCCAGTATCCAAAGGGGAATTTATACCAATAACTTATTCAGAAAGCAAGGTTTCAGACTGACCAAAAATCTTTATAATATTAGTTTGCTGTTGTTGCTATTTCTCTAAATGCTTCTTTTTTATCCTGCTTTAGCAGAGACATCGGTATGGTCAAGACGTATATTTGAAAGGTAGTGAACTAGTGGAAGAGTTGCAACTTTCTGAAGATATAAACCTTACCATCGTACTTTTCTTGTGGTATATCTGGAAAGTAATAAAGGGTATGTATGGCTGCTTTTTTTTTTTTTTTTTTTATTTTAAACTTCTGCCTATGTTATGAAGTATTGATCATTTTCAGCAACCTACACAGATTGACCGTCAAAACACCTGGTTGAAACATATCTAAGGCTGTAGGTGAAGGGGAAGCAGACATGAAGACAACAGTCGAGTTTAATGAGAATCCAGTGATTTCTAGTTTGGATCAAGAATTGGTATGCTAATTAAAAATGTAGAAGCATCAGAAAGATTTGAAAGTTGTAATATAACTGACTTAACTGGCATTTGTTACATAAAATCAATCAGTGGCACTTTTTTTGGAGGGAAGAAAAATTAGTTCTATAACTTGCAGTCCCTGTATAAAAGAAAGGAGTTAGTATTTCATTCACTGGTTCAAAGCATGCATTTTTGGGGGGGGAAAGAAATGACTTCTTGATGTCTATACATGCCAAACAAAATTCCTCTCTTGTGGGGAATCTCTCAGTAGTTCTTTTGGACTTTCAGGAGTAACTGTTAAGTATTCAAAATCGGAAAGTTAACTGGGTTATCTACAGTTTAAAAATATTATTTGCATTGTAATATTTTGGAAATTGCAGTTCAATTTTGCTGCTGTTAATGCACGACATTCAACAGTACCATCCCCCCTTCCTAACAGATGTATACTGGCAGGTTGTTATGGTTAGGTTTGTTACTATTACAGTTATTTACTATTATTGATTGTTATTGGTTGTTTATTATTATTAATAATAATTATTATTGGGTTTTTTTACTATATTAACTTTTCGCTCAAAAGAGTATAGAACATGAAAAATTATACCAAAGCTCAGAATGTATTGACACCAAAAATTAATTTGAATTGCACTTCAGTGAGTTCATAGTACATTTATGTAGGCTCAAAGTATCACTCAAACTATCAGTTTCCACTGTGAGTGACATTTCAAGAGTAGCTTTTCAATAACTGTGCCAGATTATGCAGATAAAGGCAGTAGATAGCACTAAACATCTAAAAATGTTTTTAGAGAGTAGAATGAGCATTTTAGCTGTGAGGAGCAGAATGTGTTAAGTGAAGGGTCCATTTTAGTTCAGAATGCTAAAGAGGTGATATCTAAAATTATTTGCTTAATTCTAGAAGATAACAATTTCTGCAAAGCAAGATAAGGAAAACCTTTTAAAGTAGAAAAATAGAAAGCAATTTAAAATTTGAAAATTTCATGTTGCATTGGAGCAAATAGAAATCAGATTATTGAAATGCAATTTATTTACTCTTTTCTTCTTGTTTCCTCTCTATAGAAACCTCAGCCATACTTAATCAAAATGCAACGGAGTCTATTACATACTGCATCTCAGCTGGTGCATGGGACATGTTTGGGTTTTCCTCGCACTGGTATCTTTCAGCACGTAAAAGGACAATCAGTGTTGTCTAATGTTGGATGCAAAGTGATTTTGACACTGGACCCTCCTAAACGATGTCTTCATGCAGGTGCAGCACACTTTGCCTCAAAGAAGAGTGCTTTTTCATCACAACCAGCAAACGCTCCTCACAAAGTACCAGAAGAAAGAATTCCTTTGACTTCAGCCACTGAAACACCCAAGCAGATCCCTGTAGAGTCAGATTCTTCAGATCCTGACCCGTTACAAGACAAATCAATTAGTCTTGTTCAGAGATTCAAGAAAACTTTTAAACAGTATGGAAAAGTCATGATTCCAGTGCATCTTCTGACTTCCACTGTCTGGTTTGGATCCTTTTACTATGCAGCCATGAAGTAAGTTGATATTTTTGTTGCAGTGCCCAATACTGCTGTTGAATCGAGGACGACTTTCACAGGCGAAAGGACATACAAATTATTATTACATGTTAAAATGTACCTCTGTACATAATAGGGAAATGAGGCTACATTTTTAACTGAAGCATAAGACCAATATAAAAAGTATATTGGATTCATGAAAGTGTCACGTACATACTATTATCATGCGGTTATTGCTGTGTACCAGATATATTGCTAACATTTGAAGGAAAGCTCATCTCCCCAAAATATGCATGGATGTAAACAGCATTAAAATTACTAGTAACATCTCACAAGGTAAAGATAGGGGTTTGGAATCCTGATAACAAATTGCTAGGTGAGAGCTTTACAGACCTGTTGATTCTTGCTGTTGGACTTGAGGAATATTTCACTACTTCCCCCCCTGCCCTTCTTCATCCCCAATCCTCCCTCACCATTGCACTTTTCATGCCATTCACCTCGCTCTGAGCTCCTCACAAGCCATGTGTATCTTTTCCTTTTTTTATTTGTTTCCTGTCTTTTCTGCCTTCCACTGAACAAACTGCTAATGTAGGCCAGACTTTTTAACTGGAAGTTAAATATTTGTGTGGCTAAAAAAAAAAATATATATTCTAATTTTAGGTTTTTTAAGATATAGTATGTACCAGATACAGTTCTGGAAAATGGCATTTATTAGAAAAAAAAGATACTATATCAGCTATGAGCTGCTAATTCAGATGAAAGAGGTTTAATCTATTTGCAAATGTTTTGCTAATTATGAGTAAATGTTTATCTCCAGATTGCTAGTGTTGTATATTTAATAATAGAAAGCATGAAACAATGACAGTTTGTGGCGGCAAGGATGGGGCTTTGACATCAGAATGTTTTACCACACAAGTGTTTGTTTTAGTTACTCTAACCAGCTGGCATAATTGCCCTTTGTAGGAGCTATATATCCAAATGTCATTCTAAATTTAGCTCATGTCAGAGCAATAAAGGTCTTGAGTTATAAAAATATTTTGCTTTGGATGAATTCAGGTTGATGCTTACCTCCAGACATTTCAGACTGAGTGAAGATTACTTTTCTTGAAAACACTTAAGTTAGCTGCTAACATAGGTATTTGACAGATGAAAACAACTGAAATATTTAACTAGAAACTAATTATAACAAAGCTTCAGTTTGTCACGCCACAGGAGCAGCACCCTCTTGAAGTGGAAAAATGACTGTCAGAATGACTGCTCATGATAGGAGACTAAAAAAATTTTTAGTCTCATTTCATAGTTTATGAAATAACATGGTTAATGCTGTCTTTCAGATCTTACTAAGTCTATTCTACTCTGGGGATAGGCCTTCAGATTGTAGGTTCTAGCAAATGTTAATAAATTACTGTTATTTTTCCTGATACTAAAGTGATGGCATGCACAGAAGAATGCTTAAAATATTAGATAGAAATGGATAATCATACTAATAATACAACATCTCTAAATATTGGAAAGTCAGGTCTTCTATCACTGCCTGTAACGTTCTACTGTAATGTAAAGATGGGCTGTCTTTTTTTCTCTGGTGCTGATGTTAGCTTCCCTGCTTTTCAAATAGAAAGAAATTGTGATAGGAGTTCCCTCCACCCATGTTGGCACCTTATATTGGTAAGGTAGAACAAATGGACACAACACCCCTGAAGTCTTTCAACATTTAACACGTTGATCCTTTTTGTCTGATATATTTAAAAGTGAATGCAGGACACTGAAGTGTGTGGATTCTGTGTTTCTGGGCATCCTGCAGATTATTCTGAAATTTTAAAAAGAAAAACAACAAGTTTTAGGCAGATCAGAACGTGAGGTTAAACTGGCACAGCCAGAACCTGTGTAGATGTCTTACCACCATTATATCTACTTGCCTCCAAACATAATGAACTGGAACACAAGTTAGTAGCTACTCAGCACAACAGGGATAATATGAATGGGTCACCTCTTGGAATGCTGAAAAGAACATTGATTTGCCTATAAATAGAAATCCTGTATTTTGCTTAGATGAAAAAATACTTTGCTATCAAATTACAGAGTTTGTATCATAGAGCTAAAGAATGGAAATGATACTGTAAATCACTGTTTGGGTTTCAAATTCCAATTCAGGTTGCCAATTTTTTTCTCTTTTATAGAGGAGTGAATGTTGTTCCATTCCTGGAGTTGATTGGCCTACCGGACAGCATAGTAAACATCCTGAAGAATTCCCAGAGTGGAAATGCACTAACTGCATATGCATTGTATAAAGTAAGTATCATTATAGTTTGTAAATAAGCTCTAAACCTTGCCTGGTGAACTAAACAGGGTTTATTTGTTTACAGCAGAGAGAATTAACACTGTTTTCTCTCGTTGATAGTTACACATGCTTGAGGACTCATTTTTGTGGTAAAAATAGCCACATGCAAGTTGATACGGGCTCTGTGTTCCTTTAAGGAGTCTATCTGTATTTCTAAAATAACTTCTTTGTTTGCTGCAGAACTGTTCTCCGCCCTCAGAGATTTAATTACAATTAAGTTATTCCTCTGTATCCCTGACATAATTAAGAGGGATAAAGAGATAAAGTCTAAACACCTCATGGTTTCCAGATAAAAGTACAGTTATTTTTATCCTAGAGGATTCACTACTTTGTCTTCCTGTCTTGATTCTCCATCATGTCATTATACATGCACAGCCCATGTTGGGGAAATTTGAAACATGCCAGACCGTGCAAAAGCGAAGTACTGTATTTGCTTTGAATGCCACTTATCTGTTTTGTTTCCAAATGTGATGTGCTGCTTCTCTGTTATTTAAAGGGATTATTTTCCCAGACAAAGTGAAATTGCTACTCTTGCCAATTATTGCTATGCCTGAAAGAGACCAATAAATAAAAGTGGTTAAATATAAAGATTTTATTATAGCTGGGAGATAGGATAGTGTTCAAGTGTCTTGAAAGTGAACCTTTCAAGATATGGAAGCACTAAAATAGGTTGAAAAGAGAAGACTGTGCAGGCTTTATCTTTGAAGTTCTGAAAGAACTGGTTAGTCTATGTGTCTGGGATTAGCTGATCTCTTAAGGTCTCGGTTAGCTCTAGTTTTCTATGTGCAGATCCTAGTTTTGGACCGAAAGATGCCTATACTCTTTTGAATTTTAGAATTTAAAGCATATCTTGTTGTCAGTATTTCCTCTTTGCTTATATGGCTCAGAGTTCACATACTGTCTGTTCTGAATTGCATTCTGAGATGCTTAATGCTCATCCCACAACCTGCACAGGGCGGTGGTTTTTTTTTTAAAAAATGAAAGTCTAAGACCTGTGCTGGTTTTGTCAGAAGGGTACTTTAAGGAAAAGAGATGAATTTGGGGGGGATGCACTGTAAATTGGCTTATTTCCTTATAAATAAGAGATCTTTATAGTATCTGACACTGATCAAAATAAATTCTCAATACTGAAGATATCTTTTGCTAGATAATATTGTCCGGTTTTATTGATATGTTGTGTTCTTTGGTTTCTTCAAGATTGCAACTCCTGCCAGATACACTGTGACTTTGGGAGGAACATCCATCACTGTTAAATATCTACGTAAGAATGGCTACATGTCCACACCACCACCGGTAAAGGAATATCTGCAAGATAGAATGGAGGAAACAAAGGATAAAATTACAGAGAAGATGGAGGAAACAAAGGATAAAATTACAGAGAAGATGGAGGAAACAAAGGATAAAATTACAGAGAAGATACAAGAAACCAAAGATAAAGTTTCATTTAAAAAGATAAAGGACTAGGAGAGATGCTTAATTTTGGGATATATCAAACTTAGCACTTTAACCCTTTCTGAGGCAGGATATACGAAGTGCACTTCTGAGCTTTTTTTGTTTGTTCTTTTATTTTCCTCCTTGTCTGGAGACTACAATTGCTCTGTGGATTTAAAAATTCTATGTATTCACCGAGATTAAAGTTCCCCGGGGAGGGAGGGATTGTGACAAAATTTCAATTTACAGAAGGAAAGGTGAATCTCAGAAGTTCGTGTGTCCATTGGTACTAGTGTTGACAATTACTCTTCCCTCTTCTCCCCCCAAATGAAGATTGTTTCTTCCAAAAGCCACTACTTTATTCTTCTTCCATCATACTGCACAGCCATTATGCCATTAGACTGAATCTTCCATTAAATGAGAAGGAAGATTCCTCTGCTGGGAAAGGCAACGTGTTTTGGTTTTCAGAGTATGTGGACCCAGGCCTCTTCAATCGTGCTCATCTCTCAACTTGGAGACCGACCATTATCACGGATACTGTACATGAAGGAATCAATGGACTAGCTACTCGATCTGAATGGATTATAATGGCTACACTGACTGCAGGTGAGCTGTGATAGTTTACAGGTTGAGACTATGAATCTTTCTTGGACGGTGTATCTTTTCATAAATCTCAATTGAAAGCTTTAGGAAGATGAGTTAATCATAGTAGCCACACAAATATAGTTTGTTTCCTAAAGCTGATTTACAGTAGAAAGTTATTAGATGAAATTAATCAATAATTGTATATTAAAAACTAGGGGGGGAGTGTTGTTATGTTAAAGTTTACAAAACTGCTCTATTCCATTTTTGGAACAAAAATATTCTGAAAGAGATGTTTACTTGAGGGGCTTTTTCAATACATGCAAAGTTACAGTTAAGCCCAACAATTCCTCCTCCTATCCAGGAATCCTTCAGACTTCAGTAGAACAATTTAACTAAAATAAGCATAATTTCTGAGACAGTGATCACAGTCTACCAAACTTTTTTCCCATAGATTTTCTTAGGTCAAGCAAATACTTATTCTTGGCTGAAGGCTGAAATGCTGTCTCAGAGATGTCATAAAAGGACTGAAGTTGAAACTATTCTATTTGACTGGACAGGCAAACTTCTCTCATGGTTTTAGTCAAGTGTAGGCTAAATTTAAGGGTTTTTTTCCCCTATTTCTATTACAGATCTCACTTTGTAGCAACTCTCTGCATGTGTATCTTGTTGAACAAAGGTGTGTTTTTTGCAGGGGAGTATGGGGAAGCAACAGAGTTGGACTCTGAGCATTATTAGTTGACTAGAATAAAAGAATATAGCTGATATTCAATCAGCTCCACCCCGCTTATGTTTTTGGTCGTCACCAAGGGCCTCTCCATGTTTATGAGTTGAAATTCATTAACTTAATTGTGCAGGATTGATTACATACTTCTCTGCCTCTGTCCACATGTCAGTTAGTATCTGCAATCTAATGCCTACCTCACAGGGATGTTGTGAGGAATAATCATTGTATATTCAGTGCCATGAAGATGTAAAGTGCCAGGTTTCTGAGAAATATTATTAAAAAAATAAATCTCTGAACTCTAGCACTGTTGAGATGAGCACTACTGTAGGATTGCAGTTAATAGATGCTTTTCTTCCGTCTTTCTATTTTAGTGTATGTTCTTCTGATATTGGCATTTTTTCTAGTTTGTCATTTTCAGGGGCAGCATGCCTATGTCCTGCCACACCCTGCAAAGCCCAAAGTCTTCCCCAGCAATACTGCAGGATCATCTTCTCAATCTGGGGCCAGATATGTGAACCTCTTGGTGCAGCTCACAGGATTCCTCTCTTTGTACGTGGCAGGGGTTGCACAGGGGCACCTTGGTGTCCTAGGATGGGCCTGTAGACCCCAGGCATGTTAAAAATTGTTCATTACACAGACACACCCTTGTGATACCCTTGTCCTTTTGCCCTTCCCCGTGTCCAGTTGGCCTGTGACCATTCCAGAGCTTATGTGATCTATCACTACCCACGCTAAGTACAAATGATTTAACTGTGTGCAGCAGACTGTCCTGTGTAACTGTTTCTGCAACTGCAGGACCAGCTCATAGTGACTACTGTCAAGTCCCTCATCTGTGTATTGTTTGGTCATTGTTGCAGCGTGAACAATCTCAGGGAGTTTCTGGGACAGCCACATCCTCCACCCAGGATGTCAACTAACAAAGCATCAATAATGCCTGTGGATTGATCTACATAAAGCGAGAGGGGAAATCTTCAAGGCTTTGAAAATCCAACCTGGAGAGCAGTTGTGACAATTAGCAAATGCTTGGTTGTACTGGTGACCTTCTCTCAAGTTGGCCTCATCTGCAATCAATGCAGAGCCCCGCTGGGGAGCTCCTGGGCCACCCAGGGAATGAACGATGTTAGGCTACCGGGTGCCCAGCACATACCCAGCTACACCGCAATTTTAACTGTAGGATAAAGTTGACTTTCATCCTTGTATCTCACTTACTCCTGTAGCTTTTGCCAGAATATTAGAGTGCAGTTCTCATTACTGAGAGTGAGACATAGTGTGGGCGCGTGGGGCTGGGTCCACCCCGCTTTGGTGAGGCAGTGCACCGGGACTGCATTTGCATCAGGCAGGGGGCTGCCTGGGAACAACACAGGGCCTCCTCTTTCTTACTGGTGACCAAGCCAGCACAGGTGGCACACTGCCATGTGGCAGAGGTGTCCCTCAGGGTGAAGCAGCATCAGTGGGTGATCCTTCGGCAGCGCATAAGGAACAGAAGAGCAAGTGCCACGGCCTGAGAAAGCAAACAGTTTGGCTGCAGCACCCAGAGCTGGCACTGAGGCTGCCAACAAGTGACCCGAGCAAGGGAGTGCCCAGCAAAGTGCCAAGAGTCCTCAGGGGGGTTGAAGAGCCCAGGAGCACTTTCCATTGCCTGCTGGCCCACCCAGCCAGTCCTGGCAGGGGCTGCCTTGCTCCCCTGGCAGCTCAGCATCCTCATGGGCAAGGCCTGTTCCTTCACAGCCAAAGTTACAGCCTGAGATAAGGCTGGAGCCAGTCACAGCCCGTGATGGAACCAGAACCAAAGTAGCAATCTGAAAATGAGCTGGAGCAGTAGCGGCCCAAGACGGAGCTGAAGATGCAGCTTGTGCAAGGAAGGGCCCAAGCCAAGTGACCACTTGCGCAGGAGTTCAAGCAGCAGCCTGAGCAAGAGCTAGAGGAGCTAAATTAAGAGCCTGAGCTGGGACTGGAGGCAAAATAATGTCCAAATGAGACCCAGAGCCAAAGATATGACCCAATAAGGGGCAGAAGCCAGACTTTCAGCCCAAGCACTGTTTGTAGCCAAAGTCACAGCTGAAGATGGGGCGGGAGCTGAAGTCTCATCCCAGTAGCTTGGCAAAGTCGAGGTTTGCTTTGGTGCCAGTGCCAAAGCTGCAGTCTGAGCATGGGCCATAGCCTGCCTGGTGTTGGGCAGGACCTAAAGTCACAGCCCAGCTTAGCACTGGAGCAGATGACAAGGACCAAGGAAAAGACAGAGTAGTCATGAGAGCCCAAGTCGGGGCCAGAACCAAAGCCATGGCCCAAATAGGGGACAAGTCACAGCAACCTCCTGAGGAGGGGCCACAGTCAAAGTCTGGCCAGGGCCAAAGTAGCCACCTGAGCAATGGCCAGAGCCAAAATTGTGGCCAAAGACGGGGCTGGAACCAAGATTCAGTCTAAGATGGAGCCAAGCAAAAATCTTGGCCCAGTATTAGGCCAGACCCCCAGCAGCAGTCTGAGGAGGGGCAGAGCTGCCCACATGGGGCAGGAGCTAAAGTCTCACTACAGTGTCTTGACAAAGCTGAAACCACAGCTCAGTTTGGCACCAGTGCCAAAGCCACAGCACAAGCAGGGGCCAGGGCTAAAGTTGAGGCCCAGTATCAGGCAAGAGCCACCATCACAGACCAAGATGGGGCAAAACAGAAGTCGAGAACCAAGCAGGGGCCGGAGTAGCCTGAGCTGGAGCTGATGCCATGACTCAGTATCAGGCTGGGGTCAAATTCATGGTCCAGATGGAGCTAGAGTCAAAGTTGTGGCTCAAGTTGGGGCTGGAATCAAAGTTGTGGCTCAAAGTGGGGCCTGGGGCTGAAATCATGACCAAAGATGGGGCTGGATCCATGGTGGTGGCCCAAGATGACGACTGATATTTACTCACAGCCTGAACAGAGGTCAGAGCTGAAGTCATAGCCTGAGATGGAGCCAGGGCCAAAATTGCAGCCCAAACTGGAGCAAGAGCTGAAGTCACAGCCCAACATCAGCCTGGAGCTGAAGCTGTGGCCTGAGATAGGGCCAGAGCAGGGGCCAGAGCTGCACTCACAACGTGATATGCAGCCACAGTGAATCTGTGACCAACATTGGGCTGGAGCCCATGTATTAGCCCAAAATAGGCAGGAGCAAAAGTTGCGAATCAAGATGGAGCTGAGACAAAATTGCAGCCCAGTATTAGTCTGGAGCTGAATTTACAACCTGAGCAGCACCCAGAGTCAAAATCCTGGTTCACGATGGAACCAGAACCAAAGCCGTGCCCTGCCATAGGACCAGCACCAAAGTCACAGCCTGGCATCAGGCCGGAGCTGAAGTCTCAGTCCGAGATGAGGAGCTGAAATCATGGCCTGAGCAATGGCTGGAGCTGAAGCAATGACCAAAAATGGGGCCAATCAAAATAACGGCCTGAACAACGACCAGACCCAGTTGTTCTTGAAGTTAGTGCCAGAGCTGAAGGTTCAGCCCAAACAGGGATGGGAGCCACATTAGTCTGAGCAGGGCTGGAGCCAAAGCTGTGACCCAGTGACAGGCCAAAGCCAAAATAGTGGCCCAAGGTGGGGCTGAGAGCCAAAGTCAAAACACATCTTTCTGATTATGTCCTCTTCAGGGCGTCATCTTAGAGCGTTGTACCGCATTCATCCTTGTTCATCACTTACCGTCAGAAACAATAATTAGAGAATTGTAATTATCCCCTGGCAACTGTCTGGCTATTTTGATGAACTTCTTAAACAGAAAGAATACATCTTGATTTCATAAGCCTGCAGGGAAACATGTAGCATTAAGTCTGTCCTTGAGTTTGATGAATTGATTGGACAATCACAAAGAAGGGAACACAGGGGAGGATACACATGCTTGTTTACGAATGAAAAAAGAAAAAAAAACAAAAACAGACCTAATACAATAGGGGAAGAGTTTCATAAAGAAACAAAATTAAAGAAAGATTTCTAGATGCTTCTGGGTCTGACCAAGTACCCAGAAAGAGACTAAACTGCAACCAGAGGAGGCCCTACCTCAGTTAAATTCTCCAGTGCTGTTTTAAAAAAGTTGTTATTTTTTTTTAAATGTACTGTTAAAAAAAAAAAAAAAAAGTAGTCTGCAGATCTGTTACTTTTTCTGTGCAGAACTGGTATAACTGAAAGCTGCTCAGTGCTTTGCAAAAGCCAGACGGGAGACATCGCTGTGACGCGGGGCAGCTCCGTTAGTGCTCAGAGAGCACTTGCTCCTCACAGACACAGCAGCGAATGCAGCTCTCTGGCCAAGAGCCACAGGGGTAATGGTGGTGGTGGCAGTGCCCACCTTTGAAGGTGAAGCCCTGTTTCTCTAAACCTTGTCCGCTACCATAAAGAACAGTCTTGAAACAGAGGTTCAGGCAACGCTTTGTGCCCCAGTGCTCTGAGCAAGCAGCACACGGATGAGCTCAGGGAGATAGCAATGGGTGCTGCTGGCAAGATCTCATTTGTAAGCTCTGGGCTTCAGCATCCCTCTAGAAGTAACTCATGAACTGTGTGGCAATATTGCTGTGCTAGGTGGCTGGAGCAGCTGAAGGCAGAGGCTGCTGCCAAACAATGTTTTGGTAATGTTGGTTCACCAGTGGGCTAAATCCAGGTTTCTCATCCTTAGTACCAGATTGTATGTGCCACAGCTTCCTAACATGTAAAATGCAGTATGATCTCACATTGCTTGAACATGCTATAGTTTTTGAGTCAATTCCATTGGCAGTCTGACTCATTGCAGAATCAAATAGTCTGTGACCTCCTCCTTTTAATCTCATGCTGAATCAAGGATCTTATGTTCTCTTGCCATCAGAATAAAGTCATAAAACTGACATAATTTCCACGAGATTCTGTGTTGAATCCACCTGAAATGCAGTTGTGATCCTACACCTAATCCAAACCAGAACTGTACTGCTCGGTAGCTAGTAGTATAACAGATCCAGTACTGGTAACTTCAGAGGGCTGTCGGCAGCCTCTGCGCAGTAAAGCAGGCTTGGAGAGTCAGCACAGGCTCCCTCTGAACTCTGCCTTCACCTGGCCCTTGTGCCTACTGCTGTCTTCCCAAATGGGGTCTCAAAGCAGATGGAGACACAAATGCAGATCTACCATTTGGCTCTCAATATGCAAGTATACCACATGCTTTTTTTAGTATTATTTCATGTGGATTTGCCCACAAATGCCAAAAGAGTTGCCAGAGGGCTCGTAAGGATGTGGATCCAAGAGAACACGAGAGAAGTTAGAGATGAGAAGTGACTCTGTACTTGCCCTTCATGCTTAATAGGCTCTGCAGTAAGCAGTG